GAGAATCAGTTTTAACCCAATTTGCCGCCCCAGGTTCGGGGAAACAATCAGGGGGTCCAACTCTCTTCTTCTACTACCAATCTCTAGAGAAGATGTCGGCTTGCCGTGTATTCTGAATGTTCCCTTGCCCATTACAAACATCCATGCCTTCCCTAGGATTACAAACCTGGCCTTTCGGTATGGCAGTCAGGGTCACTAATCACTATACCGGCTGGGCAACTAGGACAGCATGCGGCCGTTTATTATCTTGTTGTAAGACGGCGCCACACAGTCCTCGAAGATAGGGCTCAGGTACACGTCCGAAATGTAACAGTGGCTTTTCACATTACCGCTTATGCATAAAAGAGATGACCAGGATGTGTACCTATTGGAATATGTGTTGGGCCCGTATGAAGATGACGAATGCAAGATGGCATCGTTCATTCTTCTCGGTACCTCCACACGAGGATACGTCCATTAGGATGCTGTACGTAGAACCAGAATTCGTCTGAAAAGACGATGTGGTGCCACTCTTGTATTCAGTATCGTTGTTCGTCGATGCACTGTAGGCACGCCTGTCTCTGCTGCAGCCCCCCGGGGGTTGACTCAGGCGAATGCCTGGGAAGTACTGGCTAGGATCTGTACCTAGGCAGTCTCAACCACGGGGGTATACAAATTATCTTCAAAGGACTAGAAACCGAGTATTGTACTCAGGTTGGTTCAGGCTTGGCAGGGACCGTACTGGTAATGTTGTGTCTGTTCCTTCGGCTGTGTGGTAGCTACATGGTGCATTTGTCGACTGAGTTCCCCGGGTTGACCCCATTCAGTTTTTCGTGGCGGGGACTGACAAAGCGGCAGAGCACCTTAATACAATGTGGTTTTGCCGATGGAGTGGTGCCCGGAGGCAAGGTGACAGCGTTTTAAAATTAGCAACGAAGCGTTCTGGCCAATGCTTAGTAAAAGCCGGACGGGGACTGCGGGGTTGCGCCTGCGAGAACGAAGTCCCACGGGTGTTGGATATTTCAAACTCTTTATGTGTCCCGTATAATGAGGACCTCGGTGGGAGGTCCTTCACCCGGTGTGTCTGTCTCTGCTGCAGCGTCGGGGGATGCCGCTATAATAGTAGCTGTGCTAATAGTCCGTGGTATTGCAGACGCCGCCGAACAATCCATATGGGCACTGTCGTCTTGCACGCAAGCCAAGCTCCTGACTCAGAGTAAGGGCGTGACAATACAATCCCGCAAGGCCTAGAGGGTAACACGTCTGTCCTCTCGGGCGTTAGCAGCCCAGGGCCGCTGAGATCCTGCATGAAATTCAGTATGTTTCCCTTAGAACCATCGATTACACATTCGTCTGATAGTCATACAACCCCGATCAACACGAATAGCAACGTCGGGGAATGATAAACCGTAGTTTTGATAATCCACGATGGCCGCCGTCAAATTCCGACACAAGCTGGTAGCAGTTTCTCCTTTTAACACGAGGCATAACATTATCTTTACACATATAACCAACTTTCAACTGCGATTTCCAGATCAGTTGCAAATAGTGAAGTTGTTCATACATATATTTCTTCCATTCTGACTTACAGGAATATTTTCTATTTAATTTTCATTCTAATTTAGCTTTCATGGCAGCTAATCTTAATTTTTAAAATATGATTTCTGGGATCCCGTAGCAATTAGCGCACAAACGTGATGCTTGATGTTACTACCTGTTAACTTTATAACGTGTATACAGAACTGGCACCAGAAATCATGCAACCGAGGCGGCATTAGTTGGGGGTGGCAAAATGTTAAGATTTTAGTCAGGCACAAAGACAGCAGAACTCATGAATCACAGACATTGCATCAAACGGCAAAATGTCTAACGCGGACCTTTCATAAACGTCAGGAGTAGAAAAAAAAACTGAATGTAATGTATCAACATATTGTGAATTCTTGTTAGTTGACTCGAGGAACTTGTTTCCATGAACGGAATTACTTTTCTCTTTATTGTTATCATCACTATTTGTTCTATGTTATTCTGCATACATTACTATACAAGTCCTCTTAGAACATATACACTTCACTGAAACCTTAGTTTTTGGCATTACATCCTTAATTCTAGATAACAAAAGCAACATAATGCAATCTTCTTGTCAGCGACATACTTGCTTTGAAACATTCACGTTATGTTTAACATTAGAAAATAAACACTTATTACTTATATTCTTTAATAATGTATAAATCAAGCACTAGCAATTTATTTACTTAATTTCGAATTCGTTGTCCCCCCCTTAAAGGCTTTATTCTTAAAATTAAAACCTGTAACTTCGCCTGAAACTTTTCATTCAATTTCGACTTGATTTTGTACAACTTTTATTAAATCATCATGACAATCATCTGCTGCACCATCAGTTGATTGTCACTGCCAAAATTTTGATAATTCTTCTGGAACACAAGATTCGATTAACAGAAATAGAATAACATTATATGTTTCAGTCATCAACTTTAAGATCAACATCCTCAAATGAGTCTAATTTGATAAACTTCGATTATTATTCCCCCCCCTCCCATCTTACTTTTATCACTTCTACCTCTCGGTAATACTCTAGCCAAAAGGACAACCATTCGCTAGTGTTTCCATTAAATTTCCTCAACTCAGTTTTCGGAAGTTTACACTTTCGTTTCTGCAAAATATTTACATTATAAACATTAGTTTATTTTATATATACAAAACTGCTTTAACCTTAAAATAATTACTCGAATATTGTTTCACAAACTTCCTTTCGATTTCAAGTTCCTCTTCTGTCTTGTCAGCTTCTAATACAAATCTATCCTATTTTTGCAACTCCTCAAACATCACTTTAAAGTTTGAAACTTTGTTTCTGCTTCAAGAATAGCATCATAATCTTCTTTATTAATATGTTCATAGCTATCATTTACAAGCCGAGTGAAATAACTTCTCTCCATTTTCTGCAACTCAAATATTTTTTCCATATTCCTACAAATCTTGTTGCTTATGCCAATATTTTGGGGAAAAGATAAACACCAGTGACTTCTACTAAGTCAAATACGAGTGGCTCGTATATATACAGTGGCAAGAAAATAACACTCAATAACGGCAGAGCATAACTTTGTTTTATAACTCTAGAAATTCGAAAAGAGTTTCGCTTTACATTCTGCTCAACCAAGAGATAAGCACTGTTGCAATCCATGCTATCTAAATACTGGCAAGAAACGAGGTGCAGCTCATTAACAGCTACTAAGGATTGCTGAAAAAATTTTTCTTAATGACATCTTTTTCCCTAGAAGGCCCATTTAATTTCTTTTACAACTCCTTCTCCCCTTTACCTACAAGCATACACAAACACACGGATGATCTCTTCTTATTTCTGAACAAAAGCAAGAAACTAATGTTCTTGCAACCTAATGTTCTTGTCACTATAATGAGAGTTCAAGCAGAACTACTCCAAAATAATTTCTGTAGGATTATACTCTAAATTTCAATAATGCAATGAATTACTTGAATACACAATCTTCATTTATCCTTTTAAAATGGAACTTACTGATCACAAGCAAAACTAAAAAACCAGAAAAAATATATTTTTCAAAAAAAACATGCATTTCAAGTTAAGAATCAAATAGTTTATCTCAAATATTGCTACAAAAACACACTTCTCTGCAAAAAAAGGAATTGTATGATATACTAACTTCATAACTATATAGCCAAAAATAAGGAGAGGGGGGGAAAATGTTAGCTGTTATTTTAAGACTACAAACAATAATTTTAATAATGTAAATGTTTAAAAAATTCTACAAATGTTCTGCCTTATAGCAATACAAATTACAATTTGAAAATTGTAGAACAATCATTTATTTTTATTAACCAGTTATTTTATATTAATTAGCTTTTCTGTCTTTCTCACTTTCCATTTTTTTGCCAGAATGCTATTACCAGTTCATGCATATTCAAATGAGACAGAAAAATAATGGTATTTAAATAAAGGTTTCAGGCTTGTCACACCGATATCAGACTGAAACCAGTTGCATGTTTTCTATCTATTTAGCCTTTGCGCTAACCTGCATTTTACTTAGGTAAATTTGACTTTATTACATTTTTTATTTATGCCATAAATGCTAGCTGTTTCTGTAAGCAAAAGCAATGCCATCTGTAAAGCTTTATCTGAGTTAAATAAAAGACTCTTTTACACCCTTCACAGTCTTTGTTGAAATTTCCAAGACATAGCAATAATTCGCTTATGTCTTACGGAGAGTTCTCGGTTTATGCTACCAGAGAAAATGAGAGTATAAAATTTTAATTAAAATATTAATGAACATCCATATCTCTATTAATACAGCAATTTTTCCAACTTTTAAAAAAAGGATTTTGCAACCTTATGAAAATGAAAGATTACAAACAATTTTTTAAAAACATTTCAAGCCAAAAAAAGGAAAAGGAAAAAGCTTAAAAAGGAAAGGGATATATAACTACACTTTTACAATAAAAAGCCGACAAGTAACTGAGAACAAAAACTAATTAAAAATATAATTTCTGCAAAAAAGATTTTTAAAAGTTCTTTGAAAATGTGATTATACCTGCAAACTACATTTTATATTTATTTTATTTTTGTATGTTAAACTCACTCACATTGATTCTTTTGTGGTTAAGAAACCAAAGATATTTAACAAATCTTGAAATTCTTAACTCAAAACAAAAGAAAGTAGGCAAAGATCTCCTCCCAACAAATAATTTCCACTGTCATTCTTTTACAGGCATAGCCACCCAAGATTAGATTCAGCAGCTTGAGTTACCCAACATTTTAATTTTACTGCATTCAGAAAATTAGCAAATTACTTATTTATATTATACCCAAATGTTTGCACAGCAAAAGTTACAAAATTGTCAGTACAATTACAGAAGGTGGTCCAAGATAAACTGAACTGGACATGAGAGACTTCACTCTTTCAGTTTGAATTATCTTGGGCTATCTGATATATATATATATTTTTCCAACAACATAACCTATGACAACAGAATGCATATAAAACATTTTATTGGTAATTACATATTTAGAACATATATTCATTTTTACAGATGTCTAGTAGATTTTTAAAAAAATTTCAAGAATAATTACACAAGAAATAAACCATACTCTTAGCAATAAATCAACAAAATGTTTCTTTTGCAAACCACAATTAAACTTAATCAAAAAATTCATATTTAGGTAATAAAGACAACAATAAAAATGTCATTGATTTATATATGATTTGTGAAAGAGTACGACTCTGAATGCATAATATATACATACATAACTGCACATTAAATGCTGTTTATGTAACGAATGTACATCTTAGGCTAAAGTTGTACCAGCAACATCTCAAATTTGTAATACTTTTCTTTTACAACTAACATATGAAAAAAATGGAACACAGATGTAATATGAATAAGCAGCTTTATGTACATGCTAGATGGTCTCTTCCTTCTACAGAGTTTTCGTAAGTGTCAGTGTTTGTGAACTTGGAGAAAAAGGAGATAAACTGCCTTCTCTATCTCCTTCATGTTCAGCCCAAGGGTGATAATTACCAGTCCTACCAAGTGTACTCTCAGATGATGATTCAGAATCATATGCAGGGCGACTGATGACTAAATCAATGCTATCACCAGATGAGGCAATTAAAGGAACAATAAGACCTGCATTATATGTCTTCACATTATTCACCTGAAAAACAAAATTTGGAAAATAAATTGCTTCCAGATTTCCTTTAATAAATTTGAAGTAAGCTTAAGCATTTTAAAAAAGCTTAAATTGTTGTACAAACACAATAAATTGTATCACAGTAACAAAAAGATGAATATTACAAGCGCAATGTCAATTTAAAGTGCACATCTTTGTATAGATTATATAATTTTAAGGAAAAATTTAAACATTACATGTAGGAATTAAAAACTTACATAATGTTAATAATAATTCAAAAACATTCTTTGAAATTCACTTTTAAGATTGAATAATTTCATATTAATATCAAACATGGATGTATAATTTATATAACTTTCAATGCCTTGACACTGTGGGTCAAGTTTGAATCTATATAGTAGTAAAATATTTTATCAGCTCCACAGCTTATTTTCTAAATGAACATGCAAACTGATAAGGCAAGTATCTTCAGATATAGTCCTATGTTCAAAAAGTACATGGGAAATTCACATGCATGAAACTTTCAGTAACTAAATTTGACTGTCAGAGTGCTTTAAAAGAAATTTATCAAGTGATATCCTATATGACAGTGTTGTTTGCATTGTAATGAATAAGAAATTAAAGCAGATTTGGACTATTAAGCATAATATCCCACTTGAGCAGTAAACAAAAAGCATTTAAGCAAAAACAAAACAAAAAAACTCCCTCATATATCTGAAACAGCCGTCTACCATGTCAAAACCACTTGCCAGATTTCCCATTCTCTGACCCAGCTGTTTACTTATGAAAATTGGTTTATAATGTTAATATTTTTAGATCATTCAAGTTATTCAAACTAATGCCATAACCAATCTAAGACAAATACCAAACGAGGCCTTCTACTAATGTTTCCAGAAACGTTGGAAGCAATGGCACAAGCATGTAAGTTTCACAACGATGCTACTTTCACGATAATCAGGCAATAATTTTTTACATTTCAAACATAATAGTACTACAAATATTTTTCACAAACTTTCTGAACATGAGAGTACATTTTCAACATAACTTCTGTTTTAAAATAACATGCCGAATAACAATTATTGGAAAAGTAACGGCAAAAGGAATCGGCTTAATCATAAATTTGCAGGGCTAGTTTCAAAGATTTAAATACAGAACCTTCTTCAGCTGCAGAAGTGAAAGTGAACAAAAGACACACCAGTGGAAAGATAAGGCAATAAAAATATCAAGAAGAAAATTAAGCTACTGGTGCCATCTATACTCAAAATGAAAACAACTGTGAAACAATTTCCTTAAAAGCTGATAGTAGAGATGGATAGGAGGGATCATAAATTAGAACTGAAAAATTTTTTATGAACGTGAAACACCTCTAGAAAATCTAATGTTTTGGAATAATTTTGGCTTCAGAAAAATGGAAAATTTGTTTTTTTTCTTACCAGCAGTGTTGGACAGCAGTAGATTTATGTCTATTTTTTTTTCCTAACATATGCCTCATGTTCCTTAGCTCAAAATTTTATAGCTCTCTTAGTTTGACCAATGTAAACTAAACCACATTGGCAAGGAATGCTGTATCAGAAGAGAAAACGACCCAAAAGTTGAATTTCTGTAAAATACGTGCATTTTTTATAGTTAATCAGTTGAAAGAAAGGAATGATTAAAGAATTCTTATTATTTCCTAAAAAATTCAATAGAGTTTATAAAAAGTAAAAAGGACTTCCCCTAGGAATTTCATCAGGGTTTCTTTTGATGTAAAATTATTATTCACTATTGTTCCAATGAAAGGTGCACTTGGATGTCTAGAAACAAGACTTTGGGAATTTCATTTCTCCTGTACTAAAATTGATGAGATTATTTCCTTTACTCAACTCTGTCTGAAACAAACACATTTTGTCCTCCAAAATAAGTATTACAACCAAATTGAGGGACTAGCCATGAGAAGGCCTCTGAGTACTAGCCTTGCAAATATCTATATGCATCATTATGAAACAAAATTATTTGAAATTTTAAACTTCCCTATGTGGTTTCACTGTATTGATGATACTTTTACCCTGTTTGATGGTAATAAAGATGACTTAAAGTTCTTTCAATTAATGACTTCTATTGATCCTTCTATTTAAGCTCACTTTCGAACTTCAGACATTCGATTCTCGTCCGCTCCTTGATATCTTGGTCATGTGCAACATATCCAACTTCAGTACTACTGTTTACTGTAAACCTTTATTTGTTTGCTTTCCAATCATATCATTGAACTACACAAATTAGCTTCAATTCTCCATTATACCATGCACTTCAAATACACTACCAAGCAATACCATGCTTTTGACAAAGAACTAAATTACTTAAAAGCAGTTGTTATTGGCATAGGCTTTTCAGCTAATATTATTGATCAGCCAGTTAAAATATTCTTATGTCAAAAGATCAAAAAGCACACTTTCGTTTTAGAAGATTATGAAAATTTTGTAGTCATTCCTTTCTTTCCATGGATTAGCAATAAAACTGCATTATTTCACAGAAATTCATCTTTTGGGTCATTTTCTCTTGTGTCGATAAAATTTGCAGTTCCATATTTAAGGACCTCATTCCGGATCTTAACTCCTGGAATATATATATGTATCTTGCCAATGTGGTTTAATTTACATTGGTCACAGTAAGACAGCCTAAGAATTTTGTACTTAGTAATACAAGGCACATATAAAGGAAAAAAAACCATAAATCTTCTGTTGCCCAATACTATTGGTTAGAAAATCATATTTTCTATTTTTCTGCAGCTAAAATTATTCAAGAAACATATTCAATTAGTCAAATTTTTAGAGACATTCCGCATTCATAAAAATATTTCAGTTTTAGTTAATGATACCTATTCCAATCCATCTTTACTCTTAGTTTTAAGGAAAATATTGCACAGTTGTCTTCATTTTTCATCAGTAGATGGTGCCATCAACTTGACTTCCTTCCTCTCATTCATTCACCTTGTCTTATCGGTGGATTCTCTTTCATCATTTTCACTTCAAGCAGTAAAATAGCTTAACACTTGTAGTTCAGTTTGAAGTTTGAATCTCGGCCAGTGGGCTGGCTGCATGGGCGTTTTCTTGATTTTCCAATGTGCAACATGTATACGTGCCAGTTTACTTTAGAAAGTTATCCACCAGCGCATTTCTCCCCTTAGGCAGATAGCCCTCATGTGCTCTGCCATAATTAAATAAACCAAAGTACAAACATTTTCATTTCTGCGACTGAAGAAGGTGGTTTCACACTTAAACCTTCAAAACTAGTCCTGCAAATTCATGAATATTATACTGATTCCTGTTGCTTTAACTTCTGTTATTGGAAGAAGAAATATTTCTTTCTATATGATACCAGTCTTATGAGAACTGATACCAAAGTGCAGCTTATGTTATTCAATATCTATCCAAAACAACCAAAGACGTACCCAGTGTTAGAAGACAGTAATAAAATTTAAGCAATTTGACACAGTTTGACAATCTATTTATAATGACCAACAAGTTGATTATCCTTGACCTTAAGCATGTATATTTATGAAAACATTTGAATATTTGGCAAGAGCAGACTTTCTAATTTTAAAATAATGAAACTAACTGAAACTCCAATATTTCCAAGTAGGTAACTGCAAATACACAATAACTCAAATCACTCGAATCCAAAACTGCACCAAAACCAATGATATTCAAAAAGAAATAAAATTATGAGTTACTTTACTATTAATATTCCATAATAAATTCCAGTAATAAATAATATTTGTAAATTTTTCATTCATAAACAGTTCCAAAAATCGTACACTACATTCACCTAAGAGAATATTACAAATAAAGGGTTTTACCTAAACCTTCCCAAGGAGGTAAATACTAGATGGGTAGCATTTTGTAAATATGTAACTGCACACCATTATCTATCATTTTTACTAACCAGTGGGCCAATTTATGTTCCAAAGACCTTACGTAATCAAATAAGTTGAAGACTTTTGCCAGTTAATTTTGATGTTTTATTTCTCTTCTTTCAATTATCAACGAAAATTGAAATTTTTTAAAATTTTGTCTGTTTGGTATTATGTCTTGCTTATTTTTATTCCATAATTGAAGGGTAACAACATTTTCTGGCATGAGTATGAATTGCTCAATCAAAAATTTTGAAAAATATTTCAAAACAAATAAAAGGGAAGTACTGATTATAAAAAATGACTTTACTGATACGTATATTAAAAAATAAGGAAATAATTGCTTATTTACCTGCAGTATCCTGTCTAATGGCTTGATCAAACCACTCATATCAGCTGGACCTCCAGGTCTGATACTGTTAATATAAACACCACTTTCGTATTTGCCATCAGATAAACTAAAACCAAAATCTTCATAAACTTGATCTTTAAACAAGGTGACTTTAATTATCTCAACAGGTAATGGTACTGGAAATGCAGCTGAATTACAATAAAAATTCAGAGGTTCATTGCTTACATTATGCCTTAAAGCATACTCCTTGTGCTTTTCATGTTCTAGAGCTTTTTCTATAAGTCTTTGAACACATTCATTGTCTTTTAGGTCAGTATTTAATTGTTCAATCTGAGAATTTAACTCCTGCAAGTTATTTTCTGATAAAGTACCATGAGCATTCTGCTGGACATTGTCCAAATATCCCTCAGAACTCGACTTTACTTCATTAACATTTTCATCAAAACCTAATATTGTTCTTTCTATTTGCCGCAGAAGCTGTGACTGACCACATGTCTGTAAATCTTCAAGCACTTTCTGCCAACTCTCTCTCTCTTCATCAGATGGAACTGAAAAGCTTCCTGAAAAACTATTTGATCTATGAGTCTTTTGCTCCCAAGTTGTTTGTTCCCCACTTTTACTTGCAATCAATTTTTCTTTTGTTGGATCACAGGCACTGTGATATAACACTGCAATATTACTGTCACTGGCTGAATGACCTAAAGAAAAAAGTATTTTCAATCACTTGAATACAATTAAATTGATCACTACAGGAAAATCATTCCATGCAAATATGCCCGGCTTTAGCATTTACAATACTCCATCTAAATTAAACATATCACTAATCCAAAACAAGTAATGCATTTATTTAATTGTTGCTTCACTTAGCACCATTCAAAATTTGGAGCCTTAGGCAGCTGCCTATGTTGCTTATGCTTGAAGCCAGCCATTTAGGCAAAGTACCTTTCATAAAACATTTTAGTACAATGGCCAGACATAACTTAATGGTATAATATAGCTTCAATAAACTAAATGAAAAAAAATTTTTTTAGCCTATTACAAATGGAAGTTCATAATATGAATAAAATATTTACGGCAATTTCCAGACAATAGATTGTACTTTTTAACATACAAATATCCATAAAATTACAGCCAAATAACAAACTACTAAGACTTTGCAGCTATTTTTTCCCCTAAATTATGGATCAGGTCATTTTTCAAATAGACTGCATACAAATATTGAAGTGGGTAAAAAATCCAAGTATCCGTTCATAATAAAATAAGTTTTGAGACAAAAGTAAGATTCATCACTAAATAATCATGGAAGAAGATGCTCTTACAATCATTACATGGAAAATAAATAAAACTAATAAAACTCTAGAGCTGATGTGTAATCTGAAGAATCAGACTACATGCTTTTAATATGTTTATGTTACATAATTACATAAAATATAAATACTTCCATCAGCTTACCACACAAATCAGGTTTAATTTGTGCATTGCCCACAACTGATAAGCCAGGATTGCAACTATCCCATGAATCAACAGCACTGTCTATACTAGGCTGTGGAGTATTGAATGACTTCAATGGGTTATCTGGAACACAGTGGATGCACTAGAACATATGAAATTACATGTAAGTATACACAGTGCTACTGACAAAGATTAAAAAAAGTTCATAGGCAATCATTACATCACTGAAACATGTAAATTAGCTAAAAATTTCAAAACATCTGTTTTTTTTTTTTTAACATCATACAGCATAAATGTAGAACTTAACAATAAATTTATTTTTACGTGTTTACATTTTATGAAACTGATTTTTTAAAAAAGAAAATCAGCTCAACAGCTAATCTAATTTCCCTAAGAAACTTGAAAATCTATATTAATGCATTATTATTACATTTAATGCTTCTAATCATTCTAAAATTACAAGCCTTACAAGGGCTCAGGCAGCAATATTAGTCTATACCATAGTACTTAAGCTAATCTAAGCCCCCTATAAATAAAAATAGTACTTATCTAGTTAAAAAAACTGTATTAAGTATATTTTATCATCAGCAGCAGTTATATTTACATAACAATCAGTAAAACAATGTGTAAAACTACAGTACATATTTTTTTCAGCATTATGAATACAGTACATGTGAATACTTTTTTTTTTATTTTATTGTGTGCTTATATAAATTTTGAAAATATTAAGATTTCTCATAGGCTATGCACGATTTTATTAAAATATTTTTTAAATGAATAAAAAATTATCCAGGAAAGTCTTGATTATAGTACTACTTCAATTTAAATCATGTAAAACTGTATTATTTAATGTTAAATAACTGGCCATACCTTAGATTTTGAATCTTCATCTTCTAATTCTAGAACAAAGCAGAAAGAAGAATGAAATTTCACACAAAATATCAGAAAACAATTAGAACTAATCTTATCCTTTTTTTCTTAATCTTCAGTTATTCAAATGTATTAAACACAGCATAGAAAAATTCAAATAAAAGAGATATTATTATCTCATACTGAAATTCACATAGTATGAAAATTGCACTGGTAGTTTTCTAGCTGATTTATTTTCATTTTTAATTTTCATACATTTATGTATAAAATTAAAAAGACAGATAAAATGGGTAAAAGTGAAAACAAGTTAATATTTAAATATTATGCCTTTTCCGTACATTAATAGAATTTTTACCTCTTCTTCTAGTGGGTTGGCTCACCTGAAGGACTCAAAAAGAAAAAAATCTCTAGTTAAATACTTTAGAATTTTTAAGATACATAACAATAAAAAAGTTAATAGTATCCGTACATCAAACATAATAAGCAAAAAATGTTGCTTTAAAATTATCAGAGACAAATTAAAAATCATGAATGTTAAATTGATTTCAATGCTGAAACTGTAAAACATTTTAGCATTGCATTTAAAACATACTGAAAGTAAAGTTACTAAAAAATAAAAATGTTACATTTTTCATCTTTGAGGGTTAAAAAAAGTCATAACGCACGACTTTTGCATTTTTGAAAGTTAAACAATAATTTTCTTCAAATTGTATTTTACTCAGTTCCATTAATAACCTGTAAACTCTTAAAGTCTTACAGCCATCAAAGTATAGCAATTCTGTTGTTGTGGACTTTTCAGTATTCAATCATTCATCATAAAGAGCTATTTTAAAATTTCTGCTGCAAATCGTCCATGATCTTAATCTCTGACCTAAAATGTCATGTAAATTATAACACACTAAGGCAAGTGCTTAATCGAGTTAAGATCTGATTATGACTATGGTAGAAATATAATTCAGGATGCTCTTATGAGCCCACATTCAAAGCTAGGATTGTTATCAGCACAAACACGGTCTCAATTCAGATTCAGTTTTAAGACATGATCTTGTCATTTCTTAATATTACAAGATACATATTACGATCAAGGATTCTATTGATAATCTAGTGATCTCTGAAAATAGAAGTATTACAGTTAAAACCAGACAGACCCATCTCCATGATTCATAATTTCGCATCATCCAATCATCATCCAATACTGAACGTAAACATATTTATAAAAATTATTTTTTTCAAAGATCCGAGTTTTCATTTGGATATTTTCTGTCAAACAAAAGACATATTCCAATTCTTCTTACTAACAAAGAAATTTCTTCCTGGAGTACAACTATGAAATCTGGATTTTCTTCATACATCTAGGATAGTATTTAGGCAAACATTTGAATTTGACACTTACATACTTAACTATTTTATACAACTGTGAAATCACTGATCATAATCCTCAACACTAATTTTATAAAACAGACCTGCTTCTATACGAAGAAATAAGGCATTAAAGCCTGTTGTATAGTATAATTAATCTGCTACAATTTTACTGCAGCAATTAACTAGTGCAGAAAAGTGCATCATGAACTGAATCTTGCTTTTGCTTTTTTTTTTTTTTTTTTTTTTTTTTTTTTTTTTTTTTTTTTTTGTTATATTGAACTTGTGATGCATACAAATTAAACAACTAAAGATTCTAGAAATTGAGAATTCATATCCTCAGGGTAATGTCAATCAGGCTTTAGCAGCCTTAATAATACCTACAAACAGCACCAGATGATAAAAGTGACTTTGCACTGCACTTTACTTTTTAATTTATAAAAAAGGACACAATTTTTGTATAACTCACATCCCCCTTGCTATTTTATCAGCAAATTCATAAAAGTTTACATGAAACTTTTATCTGAAATTAAGATGTATTTGTGATGCATGCCCATCATTAAGTACCTTCTTTCTGATCAGATTGGCAAGTTTGAGCTGTCTGGTAAATTGACATTTGGTACCATTATCTATTCATTTATCTGCATGATTTCCAAGTGGGTACTAATACTTACAGTATGATAAAGCAGAAAATGGCTATTTGCCTAAGAGAAGGTATGCTTTTATGGAGAACTTTTTCATGAAAATTGACTTGTATTCATACACATAGAGAAATAAAAACTCCCATGCATTAGCCAGGATTTGAGGCCATGTTGAACTACTCGTGTTCACCAGTTTTACAGCTACATCACTGACACACTCCTTTCACCACAAGGTCCACAGAAAATAGAGTAAAAGAAAATTCTTTTCCCTGTCCTTCAATGCACAAGAACACACTTCTTTTGCTTAATGATTAATCCAGTCCAACTATAACATTGCATAATTGATAAATCTAGGTAATGTCATAACTGTAGACATTCAAGAAATGACTTCCTACACAGTCTGAGGGGTCAGCAACATGGTGCCTCTGAAGCTATTTTAAAGTACCCACTATTCAAATATCTAAATTCTATATTATTGATATTTCAACAACAAACACTAGTAATTGCAATGAATAATTTTAATAAAAATTTTTACTTATCTTTGCCATTTTAACAATTGTACAATTAAACTTTTGGCAAAACCTGGATGTTAGTGACATGTACATGAGTAGATTAATCAAATTTTTGACTGCAGAAATGGCCAACTCCATATACCGTGAACTATACTTGTGGCTAAATAATGATAGTCCATGAAATATCCAATCAATGTAATACATTTTTGCAGGGAATGTGTGAAAGGTGAGCCTAACTAGCATTATCTGATTAAAAGAGATCAAACGGTTTCTGATATACAAATTCGTTCATTACAGGCTCTGATATGTAAATCATCTGACAATGAATCAAGACTGTGCAAAGTCAATATCTGAGCGAGTTCCTGAAAATATAGCGCTTTATTCACTGTATAAGTCCTTAAACGGTTTGTTGTGGCTCCTAAGTATTATTTAGAAGAAAATGTGAAGAGACAAATAATTGGCCATTTAAAAGAAGGGCAATCTTAGAAACAAAGAGACGTATGAATATTTCAAGATGGTCTCTATCCTATGGAAACAATTTTAGAAAGCTGGTACTGTTTAAAGGAGGCCTAGCCGAGGTCATAATAAATAACAATTGCTTTGTAAGATTGATATCTGCCAATAACTGCCCATCGTAACAAGAAGTCTACTGCTCAGCAGTTTAGTTCAGAGCTTAGAATATTATCCTTTCTGTAATACATGCATGATGGCAATAGGAGACATAATGATCATCAGATGTACACCCTTAAATGGTTTCAGCAGTGGACCTGTGACCAACCAAAGATATCGAGATGATTTCTTAGAATCTTATATAAGGCTTTTCAGAGTTGCATGTGGATTAGATGTTTTATTTATAGATGATACTTCTTGTTCTCATCCAAAAATCTTCATTGATGAATTTCTTGTAGGAGAAGAAATTGAACAAATATTATGGCCAGCAAAATCTCCTGATCTTAACAAGATAGAGAACTTATGGGACTACCTTGGAAAACCAGTTGCACAGAGATGTCCTCCTTCCAGATATGTAAATGTCCTGAAGACTATACTGTGGGAGGAATGGAACTTAATTCCTCAAACTCTGCTTAGCAGTATTATTGCTAGCATGAGAACACATAGTGATATATATGTATAAGTCAGGGGACATCACATTCCATATTAAATTCATAAGCATTAATTTCTTCTGAAGTATAAGTGACTTCTCGACCCTGCCTACCTTTGGAGTAAAAGTAAGCTAAAAAGGATAAGCAAAGATTTGTTACAAAATTACACACTAAATGTAATTATTTTCTATGTAGAACTGTGCTCCAACAAACATTATTCATTGAACATCAGCAAAATTAGCATACTAAACATACTTGAACAGTTGTGCTATTCATTACATTTTGTAAGACAGTTTATTATTCTCTAATTTTGAAACATACTTCATGAGTGTTCACCTTGAAACCTGAAAAATCATTCAGGAATCAGGTCCTTATTTCAATAACAGTCTTGCAATTTATGTGCAAAAGATATTCAAATGTCTGTGTATAAAGCAGAAAACTTGGATTACTTAACCTTGGACTTGTAACTTAACCTTGGATTACAAACACCTTTCAGCATGAACAAGCCTTCACTAATAAATTATCTGAAACATTTCAGATGGCAGAGTCTCAAGACATATTCAAGCTGGCAAAAATGATTTTCAAACATGTTTTGAGGTAAACAAATTAACACTCAAGTACTCTTTGAAACTATATTTTACTACTTTCTTTTGCTTAGCTCCCATTAAAAATGCCTAGCAGTAGACTTACAGGACCACGAATTCACCTAGATAAATTACAGCCAGATAGTGTTGCAGGCAGAGGCTTTTAGCACTCTGAAATTTAGGACATATTTGTTATCTATGATATTGCATTTCAAAGCAGAACCATGGGTTAAAGTTAACAATGAAGATGACGTGAGAGAATAAAAAAAAGAGCTCAAGATAGAAGAACTGGAAGAACACAGAAGCAGCACCAAAAAGTGAAGGGGGAGGAAATGTTGTTAGAGGAAGGCAGGGAAGATTATCCTAGATATTTGATCAATGAAATTTGAGGAAAATGAGGTAAGTACAAAGTTTTTATATAAAGATATGATCCTGATAAAGCAGAAGCAAGCTACAGCCTAAGCATTTTCAATTATGATGTCATCTTTCATTTCAGAAACATTTTAAAATGTAGTTAAAAACAAATGAAGCTAAAGAAATTTTGAGTGATTCAGAGGACCACTGAGTCTTAAGCAAGGTCATGTGCCACTAAATGACAAAGAAAAGATAAAAGCACATGCTCCAGAAAGGCAGTTACCTGACATTTTTAAGGAAAGGGACTCATCATTCAAACAGTAATACATTTCCCACATCAATTTCCACTTATGATATCAAACCTCTTTTGTACATATAAGTCTTAATTTATTTAATTTTGTTTTTATCTTCTTCTGCTTTAGATTTAATTATTTTCACTCACTTTGTGCAATCAACTTGTGCAAAACGTAATGTGGCAAAGGTTAAATACGAAATCTTCCATGTTCAGGAATGGAATAATCAAATTCAAATTAATACTTGTAGGACAAATAGTTTATTTATGAACATTTCAGATCATGAACAAACTTCAGGAATGAATTACATTTTTGAACCAAAATTTTGCTCTACTTTCTGATATATAAAGTATTTTTATTCGAAAACAATTTCCCAAAATTAATGAATTTATAAAAAAAAAGTAACACTGTTTCAAAGCTATGCTAAAAATATAAGGTTTTCCCATAAATTTTAAATGCTCAAAAATATTTACCGAAAACTACTGAACATACTTGACTTCATAATATGATAGCATTCAAGCAATAAAATTTAGAACTTACTTTCAGGACATGGACACTTTGAAATTTTGAGAGTAACAGCATCACCACATGTCTGTAAAATGCATATTGCCTCATTTAGTGTCTTCCCTCTTAAGCTGTTTCCATTTATTGCTAAAATTCTGTCACCAACATGCAAGGCACCAGTTCTATGTTTCAAGGAACAAAGAGAAAACGAAGATAATAACTTGGTGTTAAAATTTAAATAAAAATTAAAATACAAGCATCCAACAATTCAAAATGGCGTTAATTTCTTAACATTCAAATGAAAAGTACATGGAAAGAGAATAAAGATGAAATGAGTTTTTATTGTTAAAAAATAAAGTATACACATGCCATTAGAACATAGGACTACATCATAAATCTTGTAATAATCCTAAGATGCAGAAAAAAGTATTTAAAACTTTGCCTTTCAAATGCAAATCATAATTAATAATACACCATTTTTGTTTACAACTGTAGAGTAGCTTTTTGAATGAATTTATTTACAGATATTAAAACATGAATGCAGCCAAAAATAATTTTTTACATCAGCAGTTGAAAGAACACGTTTCACATTAAAATTATTCAGTCAACTTTCTGAAGTGCTAAATTCAGTATTTAACTAACAGCCCAAGATAATCTCATTTTCTCTCGCTATGTTAATATATACTTTATTTTGTTATCAAATAATTTCGAGACTCGATAGGTGAGCAGATTGGAATTCATCACAGCAAAGTATGCAACAGCTACGCAATGGGACCTAAAACTATAAATATTCGTTGGTTTCAACCAATTAGCTACTGTAAAGCTGCATTACGTGGGGGAAAATATGTATTAAAAACTGAAGAATTGAAGTAATGTTCACATATCAGCAAGGTTTGTTGAATAAAATATTTAAGAATTTCAAAATAATGTTGCACATTTTTCCTGGAAATCTAACCCAAGTTTTATAGAAGTGTAGAAGCTTTTGACTTTTTTCCCTGTTACTTTAATTCCCCCTCCCAGACAAAGACCTAGCTTGAATCATTTGCAGAGTACTTACGTAATTTTTTTTTTTATTTTAATTTACTACTTCTCAAGCACTGTCTGCTTCTTCTGAAAACATTCATGAGTATCATACCAAAAAAGTTTTCTTACGATAAATACTTTATCTAAACAAAAATTTTATACGATTTTCAAAGGTGATTATTTAATTAAATAAATTAAAGAGTTAATTTAATTATTTTTTATCTTCTGTTATAGACTTAATTACTTTCATTCATTTTGTGCGATCAACTTATGCAAAAAGTACTCTTTGCAGATTCCTTGTAAACAGCTTGCTGCAAGGAGATCTTGTGCTTGTTCATTTAGTTGATTACAGCAAAGCACAAGCAGACTGGCTATTTAAAAGAAAGGATGACTTTCTGGAAGACCTTTCCAAGAAAAATAAATTGTATATACATTAAAATGATAAAAACATATGCATAATCAGCTCATTGCTGGAATCTGAACCTAAGCCAAATTTTCAGTAGTCTTGTCCACATAAGCATTAGTGAGCATCTTGCTTGATATTTATCATCTAAACAATATTAGCTTTTTTAATGCACTTGTACTCTACATAAAAAACTTCTTTTTACATTTTCTAACTATAATAAGCAAATCATTTTCCTTCTATTCATAAAATTTCTTGCTCAATCTTAAAACAGTAAAGACCTTGTATCAAATTTGAGTTCCTCTGGAATTCTCACGATTACTAAGAAATATGGCTAAATATTATTTGCGAATAACTTCACGGAGGACTTTCTAAGGAAACTGGCTCATATAACATTACACATGGAGAAAACCATGAAAGTGCCCATGCAGCAAGCTCATTTCACAGGATTCAAACCCCAGACAATACTATCAGTGCTCAGCAATTTTACTGCTTGGCTATGGTGGACCTCTGTTATTGGAAACTGAGGTATTGCTATCAAAAAATCTATCTTCGAAATCAAGAACAATACCCAGTAATACCAACCAGACTCACTTTACTGTCTCTACCTGCTTATAATTTTAAATGCTAAGCAGTTCACAAGACAGGAGGTTTTCTGAATATTTCCTCTGAAAACAATCACTTTTTCCACTTTCCTGCATTCAGCAACAAGAATACTGCACTCAAATCATCTTTTAGACTGATGGCCTCAGTCATTCTGGAATGCCTATATTATAACTCTAACTTCCTGTGGCATTTTAGCATTATTTCGGCTAATGATACAAGCTCAGGTAAATGAGTCTTATTTGAAGTGAAAAAAAAATTAAGTTTAATACAGCATTTATCACTTCTGTCTACAGCAAACATGCTGCCCTTCATGCCACAGAAAAAGCATTCCCATGTCTGTGGCCCTTGGTTCACCCTAAGAAAATAACAAATAGTATGTGATCATAATATACTAATGAAAATTGGAATTCTTCCCCACATCATGGCAAATATCCACGCTCTAGAGCTAAGAAGGACTCACAACGATCTCTTTATGAAAACATTTTATTAACTGATGCTGAAAAAATATCAGTCCATTCACAGATGGTATTAACAGACATTTAGTGCAACTTAACTGCAAAACAAAAATTCAGTTAAGTGGATATTCCTCAATAGTACAAATCTGTCTGTATTGTTTCCAAAAGTCAAAAATTCTATATCTGATTTCCATGTTCAGCATTATGAATAGTTTATTGTATACATGATTTCCATGTTCAGCATTATGAATAGTTTACTGTATACATGATTTCCATGTTCAGCACTGTGAATAGCTTTTCTCACATACAAAAGGGAACAAATCCCCAATGAGATTTAAGTTAACACACATTCATCTGGCTTCTGAAAATTGCTAGAGTAAGCAACATGCCTTCACGAATTTGAAAGCTATTTGCAAGAAATAAAGATGTCATATGTCAGGTAAGAAATATTAGGCATCCATCTACTACCAGGATTTCTGTATGTTAGTCCTCATTTTAAAGAATTGCAACATCAGATAAGATTTTATGTAGCTACTCACTTTTTAAATACATCTGTAAGACTGAAAATGTCTTTTTTCTTATGGCTCACAATATTGTAAAATGATGACTATTTGGCCAATTATGAAGTATTGAGTTTGAAATGTCTCATCTACAGTGCACAGTAACAAACTACATCTACAGTGCATCCATATTTTAGACTTACTAAGTATAATATTCTTTCTTAGAGTGGTTTAACATTTATTAGTCAAATTAAGTTGTCAAATTTACAAACAAAAAGAACCTTACAGCAACTTAAAAAAATAAACTATTAAATATTTTGCAGCTAATAATATTGGGGTTAACTACTATATAAGATATTTTCAGCCAAAATTATCCAAAAATGCTTCTAGCTATTCCATTAAATTTCTTTGTAGCCATGCATCAAAATTTATTTAGTTAAAGATTAATTCTTAATGTACTCTGCCAAAAGCACTAAAAATCTGTACTTCTTAATTTTGTCTTCTGTTTCCCTTTCAAACTTTTCTCAATAGATATTGCATCATATATTGTTTTCTTTCGTTTATTTTAATGTTGGGTATTTTATATTCAGAAATCTGCCCTAATGATGCTGAAAACTTCGCTTAAAAAAAGGGAGGATCTGTATGACATTTGTTTAAAATTTTAAAAAAGATCTAAAATTAATGGCAAGCTCGGTTAAATTTTACCAAATTTGCATGCTTCTTTTACGTATGTGGTAGCAGCAGTGCAGATGTCAATGCCATGCGATCTGGTTTGGTCTATTGGTGCCATTTATGTTTGGTAATTCTTGTTGGAGACTGCTGCTTTGCATTTGTTAATGGTAATGATTGCCAATAGATGGCAACAGTGAATACCAATGTTGATGGCTACTCTGCTAATGCTAAAGCTCATCACAACATGATGAATTGGAACCTTTCTGGCTACGGCATGATGACTCACATGATCACAGCAAAAGTACCCTTTGGCCTTAATCATTGATGGCAAAAAACTTTTATGCAACAACCAAAACGACCTCACATGTATTAATCTAAATTATCTTTTATTAAACTAAACAAAATAAAAATAATAAGTTTAATTTTATAAAGAGCGAATAATAACATAAAACAAATTTTAAGCAAAAAATAAAGCACCTTTCAAACAGAAGTAACAAATCCATACACATACTTCACGATATTAAATTTCATTTTTACAAAAGGAAAAATTTTTAAAGAAATTAATTACAAATTAGGTATGATTAACTCTGGAAAAAAAAAAAAAAAGTAATACTTAAAAATACTAAATAAAAGTGTGAAAAAAAATTTCTCCTATGAACTTCAGTAATTTCTTGGGAGTTTCTAAGTAACAAAATTTGTGAAGAATCTATGCTATAATATCACCTAGCCAATGAGAAAGCCAAAGTTTAGATTTAATTATTATAAACTATCACATGCCTTTCAGCTAATCCATTTTCAGTGAGGCCTGATATGAATATAGGATCAAAGGGCTCTTTCGTTCCGGACACAGTAATCCCCAAAGGACCTCCATGCCTTACAAGTTCAACTGTATATACAATAGCACAAGTAGCATCTGGATCTTCTAAAAAAATATCATTCCAATTAATATAAAAAATATTAACAAACTATAAGCTCGATATGCTAGCATACAACATACAAAGTTCTCTTTTATCTCTTCCAAAGAGGGGGGGATTAAATTTTCTAGACATTTCATGCAAAATATATATATATATATATACATATATGTAAAATTTAAAAAAATACAATGGCTTTGCTCTTCGCGAACATGCAACCTTTAATTAACTTTCTCCAATTCAGGATCTTCCCCTTAGACCAGTACCTTCTAGAATTTGCTAGCCTATTACATAATCGCTACTATAAATAACGAATGTGCGCCATTTTGCATCAGAAGCTCGCCTCTCCTCTCTTGTGCTATACATCTTGCTGCTGCTTGATCTATCTTTCCTTTGTTAGAAATAGTAATGATGCATAAAGTTTAACTTTAGTCATATTTGGTTTAAACTACTATTGAATATGTGATTTAGAGAATTTCATATGAAGTAAAGCATGATCTACGGTAAAAATTGAATAAAAGCTATGGAATAAAGATGTAACATTAAAGCTAAATCAACTTCCCTCTTCATTTGGATTAGCCTTACTACTCTGCAAAAACCATGCCTGAACTTTGATGCCGAAACATCACCACACACACACATATATATAAAGAAAATCTGAAATGTTTCAGATTTCAGATTTTAAATTGTGTCCAAAGGGGCATTTTTTTAACATTTTGTGTGTTACATTTATTTATTAAATATCACGTTCTTTGCACTTAAAACCATAAAAATCAGTTCAACAGCAGTAACGCAAAAATAGTTTTAAAATTAGCATATCCTTTAGAATTTCCGATACAGAGACTCGCACGCTAGAGATAAAAATGTTTTTTCTGTACAATGCCGCCATTGCTCACTTTGAAATCCTTCACTTTGTTAATCAAAAATTCGTTTTAAAGTTTTACAAAATAGGTAACCGATAATAAAACAAATTCCAAATTTCAAACTTGGTCTTCCACATGCTCATATTCGTAGGAGGATTACGTCATTCAAAATTCGATGGCTTTAAATACCGTTGTTTTATCACAATGCAAGAAATATACATACATTTATGCAGATTTTTCAATATTTAATTTCTTTAAATATAACACAGGGCGATAATACTTTTTGGCAACAGTTTGAAAAGTCATTCACCATTTGTAGTGAATCGACGCAAAACAAAAACAATAATCCTTCAGGGACAAAGCCCCTTTGGACTAAAAAGAAGAAACTTGAAGTTCAGATAGAAATCGAGTCCAGAAAGTTCTAAATTATTACAGGTAAATTTAATATATCACAGATAACAAACAGAAAACTTCATTTAATGTGAATCTGATATTTGACAATCTCATTATTTCCTATCAAGCAAACGGTCTATCAGTTAAAGTGAATTTTTATTACCCATTCCATCTAATTTTTTGTTAAAAACGAAGTAAGATGTTCTAAGCTGACATGCTAAAACCACATTCTAACATAAGTAAAATAGGAGCGTTTCCAAGCGGCCCGTCTACTTTATCCATGGAAGCTGGAATGAATGGCTCCATTAAGTTTCTGCATTCTTATTACATTCTGATGGATAGGTCTACTACTGAGAATTTCCATCCAGATGTATGGTAAATTGAAAGAAAGATTTCTGTTGCAATAGGTGGTTTACTATTTTGTTCACAGTTAGTACCAAGCAAAGGCATCAGCTAACATGCACTGTCAAAAATCATCACTCTTATCAGAGATCAACAATATTCGAAAATAATGTAATGAACTAAATAGCTGTTAAAACTATTTAGCTATGGCAAAACACACATAAGTTATCTACCTATGAGAGAAGAACCTTCATGACGAACGTTCTGGTGAAATTGGCTATTAACATTGCACAAAGGGAAAACCAAGAAAATACTCATCTAACCAGCTTGTTTGCCAAGATAAAAACTTGAATCAAGCTACCCGTATTCAAAAGTCTTATCTTTGACACAGGTGAGCAAACAGCTGTGAGAAAGTTATTTAATAGCTATTCCAAACAGTTGGGCAAGGAGGATCTTCAATTATCTATATAAGCATGCTCAGGATATGGCATGGAGATACAAGACTAACATGCTCAGGATACTGCCTCAGCACCCAAGGTCTGGACCTAAGACCCTAGATTTTAGGAAAAGTCAAAATCAACCTATAATGCCTCAAGCCCCATCCCCAGGAAAGGAAAGAAAATTGGCATTAAGGGTGCTAAAAAAATACTGTATAAGGCCTCAGAATGTCTTAATCAGGCCCTAAATCAGCAAATGAGGAAGATAAGGTGTTCAAGACAAAAACGGCGTGACTAATAGAACACATGGGGGGAAAAAAACAATAAAAGCAAAATTGCAACATAACATATCTGCATAAATATTGCATACATTAAATATTTCATCAAAGCAGTTAAGCAGTATCAAAAATAGTGCAAACAGACAGAGATACACATAAACCATATGTCAAATTACATGGAACATGATTCATATTAAATAAGTTTAAACAATGTGAAAAATATATAGTACAGCATTAGCAAGAATTTTTAATGAAAAACATTTTGATCACTGATTTGACAATTGGTGGACATTTTAATCAAATGTTGTGACACTTTCAAACATTTATCTTGAAAATAAAGAGAAATATTCTTCCATTTTATCACTTAAACTAAAGAAACATGGAATGATAAAGTATACCTGAAAACGTTTCATCTTTGCGAATTCGTAGCTTTACAATGTCAGTACATGTCAGCAAGACTGCAGTAACATCTTCTACAGTGCAGTTCTCTGTTCTCAGTGAATTTATAGCTAATAACTTATCACCTGGTTGAATTGAGCCTGTTCGATGAGCTACGCTACCTTTTTTTATATCTGAAATAATTAGTGGTTCTCCAACCTGCCTATTCCTTGGTGCTGAATTTAAAAAAAAAAAGGTGTATATTACAAAAGTTTAATACAACTGCATACATAATACACATTTAAAAACTGTAAAAAATACAAAATCAACTTATAAATAAAAGAAGAAAGAGTACCTGTTACAGAGATGCCAATATCTGCATCTCTTTTCACCAATTTAACAATGAATGTTCCACTACTAGGGACAACAGCTTCGGCAACATCAAATTCGGTTATTAAGTTTACACGGGGATGAGAATTGGCAATCATGTTTGTTACTTCATCTAAGGATATCCCTTCTGTACTTTCTCCATTTACTGCCAAAATCCTATCTCCCACCTGCAGAGCACCTGATCTGGAGGGAAAAAGCATAAAAATATTTTTAAATGGATGAACCTTGTCCACATTTCAACAAACTAATAATGTTAGTAAATTAAGAAAGGGGAAAATTCCTAGAAACAAATAGTTAACATTCTCAACTGCACGCTCATTAAATATAGTTATATGCAGATGTAAATCTGAAATTCTGAAGATGGCACATTTTCAACACATATTTCACAATTTTAATGTTGGGATCTCCAAGATCAGTCAAAGACCAGAATTTAGCAATAATCAGATAAAGAATATTATTTTCCTAATTGCTTGAGTCTTTGCATTCAATAAGCTAGATTTTTATTTTACAAAAAGCAAAAAAAATTTAAATTCCCTTCTGCAAATCTGCAATCAAAATTCTTTTTCTATTTTTCTTTTTAAATGAACCTCCATGTAAAACTACTGAGTGTATTTATATAGATATCTCTTGCTTATTCATAAGGTTCAGAGTTACAGCACTGTCCAAACAAACCCAGATCTTTTTTGGGGGGAATCTGTGAATGTAGCTTTGTCACCAGAGGCGTAGCTAGTGTTTTTAGCACCCAGGGACAATTGAAGATTTTGCGCCCCTTTCTGTAGGCCAAGAATGAAAAACATTTTATTCTAAAATTTTGTAACGTCAATTTGCTGCCCCCTGAATGCTGCACCCGGAGACAGACGTCCTCCCTTGCCCCACTCTAGCAACGCTACTGTTTGTCACCAGAAAATGTAACATAACTTGTAACAGAATAATATGAAAGCTGGATTGCATATTTGCTGTTGTCTTGTCCATATTACATGGAACAATGGTTGCCAGAACCTACTCTGAAGAGAGGTTGGACTTCTATTTTGCACCCGCAATTTTGTGGAAGAGTACCCCAGGGGAATCAGGGGGTCTCCCACCCCTCTCCCCTTCCACCAATCTACACGAGAGGACTTTAGGCTCATCGTATATTTAAAGTGCTGCAATGCCGCACTGACACTATACATTTACAAACATCCATGTCTTCTCCGGGATTTGAATCCTAGACCTTCGGTGCCATAGTAGGCTTCCCTAACCATTATACCGTCTGGGCAACGATTGCATATTTAATATACACTACTGCCATCCAAAATGATACACACTAAGAACAGAGCATCCAATAAACTTACAATCTGCACAACATATACAGTTTGATACAATGAACAAATGATTAAATATTGGAGCATTTAATGTAAATCAGGTGTGCTAATAACACTACCAGGAGCATTACAAAAATGGAAAAGAGTAGGCTGTTTTAAGTATTGGATTAAGATTCAGTAAAGCTTAAAAGGAACAGTAACAATTCATGAAAGTTTCTCAGTTTGGCAAAGGAAGAACTGTGGCTTTTACAGACTGTGCATGAGTAGAAAGAGCAGACAGGCCAACGAGAATGGCGGCATCAACGTCATCACTCTACCGAAATAGAGAACAGGCATGTTAAACACATGGCAATGAGGGAATGCACATCATCAATATCAAGAATCTTAATACAGAATTAGTATCAGTTGCACAAAAGCATGTGTCAGCATATACAGTACAAAGTCTGTAATCCGGACTTCCATTATCCAGAATGATCTATAATCCGGACCTGAAAGCCACAAACTTTTTTTTGTATGCTTTACACATGCGTGTTTAATGCATTTACGCATGCGCATTTAATGTTACGCATACACGTTTAATGCTACTTTGTACAGTACCATTCACCATGATCTGCAAAGGAGCAGAATCACTGCAAGGCACATACAGTTGTCGCGATTACAGTTGATTCTACAACCATAACGATACATGGCTGGAATGATGGTGCACTCAGTGCTAGATATGGACAAATGAGTAGCCCAACATAGCCTTTTCAGACCAAACTTGATTACACCTGCACCACAATGGTAATATCAGACTGGTGAGAATGCTAGACAGATTTCATGACCTTTGCATTATACATTGCTGTACTGTGATTAGAATGACACAAATCTTAATTTCTGTTCGCATATTGAATATAAATAGTCAAATGTCATGGGACATTTACTTAACAATATGTGGGGCCCCTTCAGCTTGGTGAATAGTAAAAACTCAACATGGCATTCACGATGCTAAGTTATAATATGGATGGCAACGTTAATTACCAAATATTCTGAAGATATACTGAATTATGCTATTTGATAGTATCCATTATTGCCTATTTGTTGCAAATGCTGGACTGTGTGCATGAAAGGATCTTTCAGTCATATAGTTTCCATTAAGTTCACGTTTACCAGTCATGTGGGCCAATTGTTCATAAAAACTATCCATAATGCTTTCCAAACTATTTTAGAATATTTGGGTTTCAATATAATGACATACTGCACTGGAAAACCTCACAGTTTTAGAGATACAAGAAATGAATGAATGAATGAATGCAAAATGGTCACAAAGCAACTTAACTTATTGTTATGAATTTTGTATGTATGTAAATAATGTTAGTGAAATTACATGTAAAATTTTAGTACTTCTTGTATAATGTAACATGAAAGGCCTTAAGAGAGTGAAGTCCAGAAAAATAAGGTTACAGGGGCAAATTCATTTAACATTCAGGTAAACAACTATCTCACCATGCCAAGTTGGTGATGTTTTTGGCGACAGAATTTTGTCGCCAAATCTGCCGAGAAATCGATAAAAGCCGCTAACACTGAACAACCTTTTGGTACTGTATACTTATTTAGTGATGTAGTAATAATGTATTTGGTAGGAACAACCTTTTGGTACTGTATACTTGCTTAGTGATGTAGTAATAATGTATTTGGTAGGAACAACCTTTTGGTACTGTATACTTACTTAGTGATGTAGTAATAATGTATTTAGTAGGAACAAAGGCCTAACCATGACATAAAATGTTTCCCAAACCATAATGGAACCACCAGCAGGTTGCAAAATGCCCAGTCTAGACCTATGCCGTCATGAGGTCTGTATAACACTCAACTGAACAAGAATGTAACCTGACTTACTGGATAAGGTTACATTTTCTTTATCTCCTGAATGAGTCCATTTAATGTGTTCGCAAGTTCTTACAAGATGCTCTGCTTGATAACCTTATGTTCAACAATGTCTAGTGCGTCTTTCGCTACCACATCATATTAAAGCTAAATTCCAGAGCACTAACTTCATAACTAAGCCTCTGTGTATTTCTCACATCATAGATGAATTTATTTTGCAGTGCTACTTGTCTGTTACATAGTCAACTCTGCTCAATTGGCATTAATCGCATTTACTAAGTGCCTTCTGTAGCCATTATTTTGATGACCTCCAGAGGCATTATTGGTATACCAGGTACCAAGGAATTGTTCAAAATTCGAACAAATTAAAAAATTGAATGTCTCCTTTAACAGACTCCAAGTATAATTCAACATGTAATATCTAATAATTCATGTCGAACTGCCATACTCACAAAACGTCTGAGATCGTAATTGACATCAATAGTGCTTGATATTTATAGAAACTTTCACATGAGATAAATCTTCATCTGAAAATCTGCATCTCTTATTTCTATGACTTTTGATCTTTAAGTATAAAATAAACTGAATGCCTACCTTTCAGCTGGACTTCCATGCTCAATACTACTGACAAATGGAGGACTGGTCAGTATATCAGATGGATATGATGAGCTTTGCAGTGTAAATCCAAATCCTTTGTGGTCTGCAGGTAGTGTGATTTCAGTTCTGTCTGCATGACCAACACTTGTACATCCAGAATTAGTAGTTGAAGTTAAAGACACTATTAAATTTTAAAATACCTATGTCACTAAATTTTCAATTTTACAAGCATCTTTATCAATCACAATTGCAATCATATAATTCTAATTATTATCATGTGTGATTAATGAATCTATAATGAAAAAAAATTATTGTTTTATATTTCACATAATAAATGATAGAAAAAATGTTCAGTTATACTTTTAATTTCTTCATAAATGTTTATAACACTGAATTTCATTAAAGGTTCATAAATTTTCATAAAAGTATAAACCACTGCTTTGTTTACAAACATTAACCTTGAAAATCATTAATGATAAATGTGTGTAAATTTTACAAATTCAGCAATTCTGTCTCCCTTTTATTAATACAGTACAAAGTCTGAGATCCGGACATCCAGTAACCGGAATGATCTGAAATACGGACCTCAAACTCAAAGCCACCACGTTTTTTGATTTTTTTTTTTTTATACATTATGCACGCACATTTGATTCCCTCCCTCGTGCACAATAAAACATGTTGAGAGTCCTGATTTGTATTTTCACTTCGGCACTAAATAAAATACCTTGTTATTGAAGAAACAATCAATTTAGCATAAATATAGAGTATAATTTAGCATATAGAGAATTTGACTGCAATCCTTATCTGCTTGGTATATATCTCCAACCGAAACATTCTACATAGATACATCGTTGATTTTACACCTACTAATAATTTATAAATTGATGCCAACCTGACGAATTATTATTTATTTTATTTTGCTTTCATCACTGTGTGTTTAGCAACACATGACAACTTCAGTAATGACTCATATAGCAATGCCTGACATGTTAGCATCCTCTCCCTCAGTTCAGCATCGGCCTCCTCGTGGCGCCTGCTGGAAACTATGTTGGCTTCAGCTGGCATAGGCTAACAGTGCTGGATAAACATCCCTTGGAATCAACTGGCCAGATTTCCGGAACCGACCAATTTCATAGGAAGGAGACCCGGGGTTCTACCAGACAACTGACTGGACAGCTTCGATTCTTAGGATAGATAACTTTGCAAGACTAAGCCATCGATTATCCAGTGGTTGGTTCAGGCTCGGCAGGGACCATATAATACTGCCATGTCTGCCCCAAAACTGTGGTGACGTTACATAGTGGATTTCAAAGGACTCTCCTCAGTCAATGTAGAGGGATGATGAAATCTACTTGTAACTTTAGCTCATGAGTCTGGTAATGATAGTAGAGGTGGAGTGGTGCCCCCCTCACACATCTGTGGAGCAGAGCTGGTCCTATCATTCTTGCCTTAGCGCCATGGATGCTGTCAGCTCCCAAACTACTATGCATTGGGCTTTCGTCCCTCTGCACAGACCAGGAAGGTGGCGCCCCCTCAAGTATGCCTCTGGTAGCGGGATTGATAGTTGAGCGGGCCTCTGGTAGTTGAGATGATACTAAGTACTGTGGTTATGGGTTGCCTCTAATGACCTCGGACAGCTAGTCTCCTCCACTAGTTTACTGTCCCTACTGGCATTATGCTTGGCGATGATTACAGATTTAAGTTAAAAGTGCTAAGAAATGATGATGAAGAAAAATTTAACAAAATTTTCTTTCCATATGCCTAAAAATAGATTTGCTTAATGATACTCATAGGCCAAAAAATTACATTTAGTGCTATTGGAATTAAGAATAACTGATATGTTATTCACATAAGCCCAGAACCAGCACCAGGGTTCGTATGGCCGCACCGGATGGCAGAATTTAGAGAAGACAAAGGGAGGTGGTTGGTAGTGGAATTTAAGAACCACCAAGACTGCATCAGGCAGTAAGACACCTAGCGCTGGCCCTCAAAAAGTTTGAAGTATATGTGAGAATTTATTTATTCAGTTCTCAGATAACCTTAAGCATGAGCAAGAAACAGACATAAGTATAATAAATAACTAAACTAATACAATTCAGGCATAATTATCTCAGAGCACTATAAAAGAAAGATAAAACTTAGTGGAACAACTTATCTTTAGTCGCCAATCTCATGATACATAGCCAAATATGTATAGTGAATGAGAGCTAAATTTTATGATGATAGCCATGAATTTTTAAGGTTTTCAGATATCGCAAATCAAAGGTAAAATTTTCCAATTAAAGAAATTTTGTAAAAAAATGTGGAGAAGCAGTAATAAATGAAGATGATATAAAAGAAGTTTTTCATTGTGATTACAATGCTCCTCGATCATCAATCAGTTAATGAATGGCAAAATTTGTAGCATGGTTCTAGATCCAGAAAATACCACTACTGATAGTGAAGAAAGTGACAGAAAGGTTACAGAAAACAAAAAAATTTCGACTGACAAGTTAGTCGGAATTCTCAACACAGCAATTACAGCACTTCAACAATGTAACTACACAAGGAATTATGTCTGTCTACAGAATTGAAGAGAAAGTATTAGCACAAAAAACAAAGCAACTTAAACAACTTACATTGAAAGAAATGTTTAATAAAGTAAACATATAAATATTAAGCTTTTTTTTTTGTAATTTTGAAGCATATATGATTTTGATCATAAATGCTTCATTATTTCATAAATCATGATTTCATATTTTTAATTTTATAATTTCTACAAGCCATCTTTCTAGATTTTAACTGATGATCTAATATCCAGAAAAATCCCAACTGCAGAATCGCAGAAGTTCTGATGAGTCCGGATCTCGGACTTTGTACTGTATTTATTTAATACGTTTATTACAATGAAAAAGCCAATTTATAAATTTCATACAGCTGAATTAAAACATAAAAAATACAAAATTCCAGCAAACTAAAGAAAAATGAGAAAAACTATACAGAGTTGTACATAACTCTACCAATGGTAAAGTTTGTGTGTGTGTGTGTGTGTGTGTGATTATGGCAAACCCTCGAGGGCTATCTGCCTAAGATGAGGGATGCCTTCATGGAGGGCTTTCTAAGGGAAACTGGCTTGTATTCACGTTACACATGGGGAAAACCACGAAAACGCCCATGCAGCCAGCCCATTTGCGGGATTCGAACCTCGGACCGAACTACCAGTGTTCAGCGACGTTACTGCTCGGAGTTTGTGTATATGCACATGATTTTTAAGATATTACAAATGGCAACATTGACCTAAATTAATGTCTAATTAATTGACAGGAAGGCAGCGAAATATGCTATTGTACGCGATTATAAAATTCCTAGGGTTGGTTCTGTTCACTCTGTTCAGTTTTTTCACATAGCTAACTTACCAAATAAAAAGTAATCTGGCTATGCAACTAACACTTTTTTTTTCTTTCTTATCGAATGGCCAGATACTTGCTAGGAAATCACTGAGAATTGTTGAACCCATTGTGCCTACATCATTTTCAGCACATCACCCAATACAGTGGTGTGGGAGTTTCTTGTTGAAGTAAATCGTACAGATTTTAAAATTGAGATGAAAACATGGATATCATTCATTATTCCACATGTCATATTTTTTAATGCAGTGTATAAAAACCCAATGAAGTACCCAGCACAATAAAACTCATAGCACTATTCAGTTATATCAAAGAGAACAAATTTTATCAAGTTTAAAATTGTAAATATCCTGTAAAAGTACATACGGTTATTCTTAAATGTCACACATCGAATGTTCTTTACTCACAACTGTAATAAAATATTAATTTAATATATACAGTGAATAAAAAAGGCTGGAAAGTAAAAGAACATACCATCTGATGAGCTTGGCATAATAGGATTGAGTAATGTTGTACACACAGCAGCACCATCACAGCCTCGTCTCATTCCTGCTGGAGATGTTATAGAAGAATATGGGCAGCCAGAGGTAACAGAAATCCCACCAAGTGAAGACAGAGTATTATAACCACAATTCTGAAAACTTGTCCTTGCAGCAGAATAACGAGATGAAACAATACCTGTGAAAAATGTAGAATAATTATATCTTAGCAATACATGAAATTTATGAAGATATTGCATAGTTCAATAAATAGTCCCTCACTTCTGATGTATTAAAAAGCTCGACAAAAAAGAAACATTGGTGACTACAATCTAGTTTTTAATTTATATTGCAGTCAGTAGTGTTTCTTTTATGCAGTATAATCGAATTTATATCACACAATTTTTCAATCATATAACCTAAAATTACAATTGAAAAAACTTAACTTTTCATTTACTTACTATGTCTTTAGTGCTTCCAAACATTCAATTTATTAATTCATTTTGCATATCAGATCAAAGATAGATTTCAAAGTAGTGAACAAGTAGTGAATTTCAAAGTAGTTCTTTCACATCATTCTATCAGAGATGAGGGGAAAACCTTATTCCCAACCCCACTTCTTAATTTTTGACCATGCGTTCTAACTTCTGCTTCACTACAATTTCCACTGCTTAATGTTTTGATAAAGCTGGTATGAACTCCAACAAAAATACACATTGATAACTTCTTAATCGTTTGTTTACCTGCGCTAATTTTTATGCTGAACCTTTTCATGTTTACTCATTTATTTAATTGTAAAATTATGTGCATGGAACAAATCTCATAATTTTACTTAAAGCGGGTATAATTCATAATCAAATGATAGCTCTGCATTAAAATTAAAACACTTAAACAAGTTTAAAAATTTCAAACTTGCCAGTCAATAAAAATTGTTTAAATCGCATTACAAATTATAAAATAAAATACCTCGTTTTACAGTAGTTTCTGGAGCAGATCGTAGCGACATTTGACTAACTGGCAATATTTCTAACTTAACTGTTTCTCCAACTGATGATCTAAGCAATTGCATTGCTTCAGCTGATGTCATCAGGTCAACTTTTATGTCATCTATTGCCAAAACATGATCACCAACATGAAGTGCACCACATCTGTATTTAAAATTAAAATAACATTTAATCAAAAGTTTATAAAAAATCATAATTTTCGTATAACATACACATATAGAAAGAACTAGAATGTTCAAAGAATAGAGCATACAATATGCCACATCCAATAGCGTAACAAAAATTTTAATTTTACTAAATTTAATGGCACAAATTTTATTATTTTCACACCTACCTCTCAGCAATGCTAGCTTGACGAATACTTTCAATGATGATTGCATGCTCAGGAACAGATAAGCATGACAAGTTAAGTCCCAGTGAACAACCTGGGGTTTTATCTATCTCAACTAGCAAAGGACCAGTAGCATTTTTCACAGCATCTGAAACGTATTATTAATCATGACATCGAGGAATTTCTTACTTCAAAAATTAACTGTTCATGACCAGAATTTTTTTATTATATGGAAATTTTATTACCTACCAATGACTGAAATGTCATATTCAATAGTAAACAGAACAGATTGTTTTAACTGTTTCATGAGGTGCAAAGCTTCTTGCAAACTTGCAGTAGAAAGGTTTATCCCATCAATAGCCAGAAGTCTGTCTCCAGCTTTTATTATACCAGTTCTAGTGACAAAAAATAAAGGGAGGGACATAAGTAAGGCCTCAAAGAAAGCAAACATGATTTTCAAGCAAAAATGATTATATATATGTCACTAATACCACTTAACTTATAAAGTCACCAATATAACTGAAATATGATCCATGATGCCAAAAAATATTAAACAGTTTTTCTGAAATTAGCTTATAAAGAATCATTAAATTTTGCATAATGTCTTTTGATATCCTGAACTAATATACTTGGGAAAGAAACAAATAAAAGTGGATATATTATATCCATATTTATGGATATTAGTTTTTATATCCATATTTATGGATATTAGTTTTTTATATTCTGAATACAAAATGGCTAAACACATTCCATCATCATACAGCATCCATACAATATCAGTTTATTTCTACACAGTACCCACACATATGATAAAGTGAAAGCTTTTTAAAACACCCTATACAAAACAGAGGAAACATATTGAAAAATTAAAACAATTGTTGCACATTGATTTGAAATAAAATTGTTCATTTGCTTAGAGAAAAACTACTAACTAAAGTGTCTCAGGAAAATATTTCACACAAATGCTTTGTATGAAGAGCCATAAGCATGTAATTCAATATCAGTGTTTAGAAATTTATAAAGAGTATTTAATTACGTTTTTATTAAAATATACACTTTTCCCCATACAACTACCACAAAGAAATGGTTTCGTTTCATTACTATTCAGCATTATTTTTGCAAATTCTGATAAACACATTCATATCCCAATATCTTACTTCATATTCATTGTCACATTTCAGTAAAAACATAAATTCAGATACTACTTTGAGAAATCATTTATAACAAAATGTATGTAAGCTAAAAACATATATGCATATAAACTCTAAGACTTCATTCAAGAAAAGGCTTCATTCAAGTCACATGAAAAAAATAGTACCAATCTTACAAATAATAATGTTGTGCTATATATTTGCAAAGCAATAAGGAATGGTATTCAGCAGCATGCTTTTTGTTCCTTCTGCGAATAATGGGTCCTACAGAACACATAATTCACAACTAAAAAACATTATTGCATTTAATTGGCCAAACAATACAAAGTACAGGCAGGGACGCATCGTCCATATGAGCAAAGTCGTGCAGTGCGCAGTGGCACCATGGCCTTAAAGGTGCCTATGATAATTTTATTTTCAACTAATACTGACCTGTAGTGAAATCCTACTACTCCTCTTTCTCTAGGGGCTCTAGGTAGGCACACCATTCATTGTTTGATCAAACATTTTTCAGGTTTAAATTGTTAAATTTTTTATTCATTTAAATGCCTTTGCAGTTGGTGTGGGTTTATTAACTTTTCATTGTTCATCAGTGCATGAGCCACATGAGCATTCTGTATGTATTCATTAAGTCCTGATTCACTAATATAGTGATTGCGAAAAGTAATTAAAAAAATAAGTTAAGTGATGAAATAAATTCCCCTTTATATAATAATAATTACATACTTGTCAACCTATGACACTCAAAAATCAGGAGATTTTTCACAATGTTAAAAAGACTTTTTAAATGATGAAAATATAGTTTTTAATAATGAATTAACTTTAAATAGTAACTAACTCTTAAATGCAAGCAACACAAAAATACCTTACACATAAAAAAAAAAAAAAACATTTTTATTACTTGCAATCGTTTACTGAAAAAAAACTTTAATCAGTTTTTCATACAAATGTTATAAACAGTGGCAGATTTGCTTTCTTTAAGAAAGAAGAAATTTCATAATTTTGTTCACATAGCAATTGCCACGTAGGCCTGCTTTTGCTTAATAACAAGTTTTTCTAATGCGTCATCACTAATATTAGATCTAAAGTTTAGTCCTCGGTTTCGCAACAACACTGAAAATCCTCTCACACTCTGCATAAATATTATGGGGAACTGTCGACATTGGCCAACATTAATTCTAGACAGTTCACTATATTTTAAAATTCCATCGGCATCTTTGAGTTTTCCAATTAAAACTCCACTGGGTGTCAATCCTAGCTGATTTTCTAACTTCATCTAAGTTTTCTAATTGTAAACTGCTGTTATGCAGCTGTTGGAACTGTTTCAATTTTTCCTTCCTTTTAGAACTCCTTTCAAGATAATAATAAATATCAACAATGTGTTCATCCACACTTATTGGTAAAGAAGCTGCCCCTCTTTCAGCTGTGGCATAGTGGCAGGTTGTGCTCCAGTAAAAAGGCAGAGAACAGACATTCTGCATTAATAACTTTTTGGTCCTTTGTTTCCGAAGAAAAATTTAATTTTTAATTTTTTTCAAAACAACTCATGTTGTCCTTGTGCTTTTGTGTACGCACATGTTTGAGAAAATCCGCCCTTCCACCACACAAAATCGAAAAATCGCAACGACAGGCGGTACACATCGCAAATTTATTTTCTTGAGGAAATAATGGAATGAAAGTCAACTGTGTACGACTGTGAAACGTACTGTGTCAACTGTGAAACGTACACAAGTATTTCACCTTTCTTGCAGACATAACAAAAGATGATAATTTCTAAAAATATTTTTGCCGAAGGCATGTGTACTCGCACAACTCAGGACAAAATGACCGAATTAAAGAACATCCAAATAACAGCTTGCTTTGTCCTCATTCGCTAATGACTAATTCGCTCTTTTCTAATGACCATTTATTTATTTTTGTTTTTTTTAAGAACTGCTCATTCAACAGGTGAAAAAAGTATTCTTGCGTTAACTGGGAAAGAAAATTCTTCTTTACATGGGTTGTGCCATCAATGGAGTGATTTTGCAAATTTTCAACAGAAAATCAATTCCTAAAGAAAACTTCCCTAAATGAATCATTACTCATGCAAATGAAATAGGATGAATGTATAAAGATGTGTTGAAATTTACTGAAAAGGAACGGTTCCCCCCCCCAAATCTCAGGCCTCATTATTATGGATTCAATGCGATCAAATTCAGTGGATACGGTACAATCTGAAGCCCAAAAAACTTAACAATTTCTCAGTAATACTAGGTGGGCTTAGAAAAATTTTACAGCCACTGGATCTCACCATCAATAGAATTTTCAAGCATGAACTACAAAAAAAAGGGGGGAAGAACAGACGCAAAGCAAACTCCATTCCTTCACAAATTTCAAACAGATGAGAAAAGTTTCATATAAAGAGGCTGCACCTTGTAGATCAATAAAGCATGGTAATCAGTCTAAGATATGGCCATAAGCAATATCATGAAGGAAGCATCCAAACAGCATGAAACTTGCATAATGTGTATACTGCAATGAAATATACAAATGACTGATCTCGTTGCACATGCACATTATAGCCAACTGCAGTATTCCTTAAAATCCATATATAAAGGGAGAAAAGATTGCTAGTTTGAATAAGGTGAGTTGTTCTCTCGTGAGATAATTTTGAGTACAGCTTCAGTGTGCCTCATAGAAAAACAAGAGCATCATTCAAGCATGTTTCCAGGTTTGACTGAGGCAGAATCATTGCATGCACAGACTGCAGATTATCCTTCCAGAAAACAGTTATCATGCCAGATATAGTCACGCAAATATAAAATCGGTGGATGCCGGAGGGAATGACTGACAGACAGAATCAATTGCAACCAGTGCTGGATTTAAGATTAAGCTGCACAAGCTATAGTTTAGGCCACCCACTTTCTTAGGGTTGCCCCCAAAAATTGTACCCTATTCCATATAAAAAAATTGACTTATATCCCTCATAAAGGCCTTCATGTTCATCATATGTATTGCACGGATGAAGCATTCTGCCTCATTTACAACCATATAACAAAGAATGCAGTCTGTAACACACCAAGTGGTGTCTGCATAAACAATTCCACATTGTTTATAGTACAATGGACTCTCCATTAAGCATACAATGAGCTGTCCATTGCTTCAGTTACCTTTTACCTACAAATGTTTGCATTTGTAATGGTGCACTGAACGATGGACATGGCTATCTGAATGGCATAGCATTGTGTTTTCAAAAAAATCACACTTCTGCTTGCAGTGCCACAATGATCAGATTACAGTTTGGAAACACCATGGAGAAAGGCTTCTCGACTGTTGCATTCTGTATAATCATACTGATCCTGCACTTTGTCTTATGGTGCAGGGTGGTATTGATCTCCACTCCTGTATCCCCCTAGTACACATTACTGGTATACTTACCAGTCAATGCTATATCTCTGAGATTTTGAAGCCTGTTCTCGTTCCTTACCTTCATGTTCTGCCTGTGGCCACAATTCAGCAGGACAATGTATGACCACACTTTGCACGAAATGTTGCATTGTTACTCTGGCCTGCCTGTTCTCCAGATCTATCGCCCATCGAACATGTCTGATCAATGACTGGAGAATGCCTAGTCTGGCACCCCCAGGTACACCAGATCAACACTGACTACATGTATAGGTAGCATGAGCTGCCTTTCCCCCAATAACCCATTCAAAGCCTCTTGAGGCTATACTCATCAATTTTCTCATTCTCCTCAAAGGCTATATTTCAAATTATTAATATTGACACTATGTGTAATCACTGAAAAAAATTGGCTTTAAAATCTCTTGTCCTTCCTTCATGTAGCATTTTGGATGGCCAGCAGTGTCTAGTCTGTGGTTGATAATATTGCAGATGTGTGCATAACTTTATGCATCCTATTCTGGGTTTATGGGCATTTATAAAATGCTACATTTGGCATCTATTAATTTTTTCACATACTTTACCTCCCATGAAAGTTACATGGTGATTTTCATTGGGAAATCTGATAAGTTCCCTTGCAAATGATAATTTCCAGCATCAAGTCAAGATAGAACTGTTCATAAAAGAAAAATTACAACATTAAGTATTTTATAGTTTATGAAATAAACACCTATCTGCAGATCCACCAAATCTCACATGTGTAATTGTTAAAGGTCGCGATTTCAATCGATCAGCACATGCACCACCTCTTAAAGTGAAGCCAAAGCTGTCCTTCTCTTTCTCCAGTTTTACTTGTATGACTTTTGAAGTTTTACAAAATGAAGCCTCAGCTGCTGAAAGCAAATGAAATGAATTAGCATGCACATATGTTTGAATATAAAATATTGAAAACATATCTTTGATATTTAAACACCAGTCAATGAATTTGCACTTGCTCTGCTTTAAAATAAATCAAATTTTGATCACAGTTTTCAGAATAAAGCAATACTATTTTCTTTGACACTGGAACCCTTTTCACACACTTATCTGAATCTGTTTTTATTCACTTAGACCATTAATTTTCAGAGAAAAAGAAACCTAAATCAACAGTCACTGAATTTTTGTAGAAGTCTAAATAAAATTATTTCAAAGAAAACTCTTACACCGCTTAAATTTGAGGACACAAAAGTAGCCAACAAACTAAATAAAGCAAAATTATGAAACATTAAAAAGTGATATAAACATGATTGCAAATATTTAATTAGGCGAATCTTACGATTTTTTGTTACTTAGCTGCATTTTTATAAGCTTTTATTTAACTCATTCATGCTTTTGTCACTATCAAAGCTTTACCATACTTTTTTAAACTAATTTTTGATATGTTATCGAGCTCACATTTTGTACAGATATTTATGGAGGATGACAACAGTATGTGGTGAAGAGATTTTTTCTAAATTTGATTTAGATTTTTTTAAATTCAATGTTTAAACATTTCTTCACACATATTATCATTTGATGAACAAGCTGAAACGCCAAGAATTTCACTGTTTTAGCCACTGAATACAGTGGAAAACGTCTTTTACATTAATTTTCTGATATTTAAACATAATTTCTAATTTTTCAGCAAAATCACTGCATTTTTTTACATCATATGATATAAGGGAATAGTTGGAAGTAAGAGTGATTATTCATTGCTGAAAAAATATTTTTTAATTGAATTATTTGATTAATAACAAGCCATTAAGACTAAAAAAGATGAAAATATAAAAAAGTTTTCATAATGTAATCTTTTACTTAAATAAATGAACTAAGAGAAAAAAAATAATTTATCATACAGCTTCATGAGAACAAGAGATTAAATAATCCTCTTCACAAAATTCATCTACAATTTTATATCACAAATAATAAAAGCATGGGTGAATAAATAATGAAAATGAATAATTAAATTGCACTGTCACAAGTATAAACTATCAATTTTATAAATTAATGAAAGGCACCCTTTCATTATTCATAATTTCATAATTCATTTATAATCTTACATGAAGAGGCTGGTATTTCATACTCAATTTCTAAAGTAACTTTATTTCCGGCATTTTTCAACAAATTTACAATTTCTTCATGTTTCAATTTAGAGGTTCGAATTCCATTTACAGATATAATATAATCTCCAACAGCTAAAGCATCACTCCTAAAACAGAAAAGTATTTTCACTCACTAATGGAAATAAAACAATTGCTACAACAACAAACATACAATAATATATTCAGTAGCCCATGATTAGTAAAAACATTACTTCAAATCTCATGGGGAAGAATCAAACATAAACTTATGAATTACAATATTTTTATACAAGTAAAACTTGTTATACCTGTGAGCTATACTTCCAGGTCTTAAACTTGAAATTTTAGGCCTACAGTTTTTATCAATTCCACCTGAATAAAATATATAAATATATAAGCAAACAAAAAGTAAATACCATAAGTTTATTTTGTTGAGAAATTAATGTTTCAAGAGTTGTCGCCTTGCATAAGTTTGAATGCTTTTAGAATAAAATTTTTGAAAATCTTAAAGTACATTAACGACATATTCTAAGCCCTTGCATTACGATGAAAGTTTCTAACAGCAAATAAAATTCAACATGATTTAACACAACATCCATATCAATCCACTCAGCACTTCACATTAAAATATTTTGCAAACAAAGATTTGAACTTAAATATGCTTCAGAGTTAACTTACTCAAGCCACAAATCTCTTAATCAAATAAGTACTTAACTTTAGGCCTCACCAGTAGCTAGTGATTAAGACTGCTGAATACTAGTAGACCGATCAGAGGTTGATCCCAGGTGAACGGGTTGACTACATGGTTGGGTTTCATGGTTTTTTTCATATGTATTTCAGTTTACTTAGGAAAGTTCTTTAAAGAAGGCATCCCACTTTTAGGCAGGTAGGTCTCATGTGCTCTGCTATATTCAAGTAACCTAATCTAACTTTAACCTTTATTGTGAATATTAGATATAAAATGTCTTTAAAAACTTGAAAAAAATTTAGCAGGCAGTTTTTCAACAAAAGAAACACAGAACAAGTGACAGGTTTTTAAGGCAACTATAAAAGTAGTGAATTACAAATGAAATACTCTCAAAAGAATCAAAAATGAGAATTTTAAGTCATAGTAATTTTATTAACTTTCAGAAAAGTGTCAACAAAAATTTTAATTCCTCAATTATGCATTGAAAAAATGTTGTTTACTTGTACACTGACTAAAAAATACTTCTCTAATATGTAAAAACTAACAAACTGACATTTCAGTGCAAAAGCAATGTCTCCTCTGTTACTGAAAACCACACTTATGTTTCATAAATAATATCAAACTTGTACATGGATAGTTTTAAACATAAGGAAACGATTATATATAACAAGTGCTAAAATGCTAAACAAATTGAGGTTAGTTTGAAATGCTATTATCTCCCTAACAGGTAATTTTCTAGTCAACCATTTTGCAAGTTGAACATCATCTCACAGGAATCAAACTCCTATGAGAATCCAATTAAATATGCTTTCAATGATTATTAAAACCTGAACTAATAAACAATTTTAAACTGTTCATTTGTATTCTGTTCAACAAAATTAATAAATATTGGCTGTTTTATTTCGAGTATTATGAGCGTTCCATTACGCCTAGGGTCACAAAGTCCAGGCTTAGAGTCCCAGTGTCTTCGCGGGGCAACATTAACCTATAATTCATTATAATATTATTTCTTCTTTCCCCCTTCCATGAAAATAAGGAAATAAAACACTGGAGACCTCTAAAAAATACTACGTTTAATCACTTCCTAGCTGCTGTATGGTTGTAGTTCAAGGTATCTTGACACTACTTTTTATGTAAATAGGTAAGTACTGTTTGACGGAAAAACGTGCATCAAGAAGTTTTATTGAAAAAATTTTGATAATATATTGCAGTGTTTAGAAAAACAAAAGAAACGAGGAAGGATTCAAGCCCTTAATCTGGAGATTAAATTAAGTTTAAAATGCTTTGCACCAAATAGCCATTACTTCAGAGCCTCTTCAAAACTCCTTATACGACAGCATGTTGAAACTGTAAAGGGCCGTACAGACTGCGGTTTATCTGAGCTAACGGAATCGGTTCAACGAGTCGACTAGCTCCGCTGTGCGTGCAGTTCAGATTTTTCAACTCGTTGCGCTATGAGGGAAAAACTGCTTTTGAAGATGCGTCGGCTAAGTCACTTGTCTCTGTTAGCTCAGATAAACCCCAGTATGAATGACCCTTAAGGGGTTTTAGCGCCTGTCCGGAAAAGTTATTTGCATAAGGGTTACAAATAGACATTATCCTTAAATCAATAAACAACTATGTTAGTTTCCTTGGTTAGAACTAATTTCTCAAAAACAGGCATTTCACAAAATTAAAAACTGTTTGCCAGGAAAAAGAGAAACAGTAAAAATACCTGAAATAATCAATCCAAGAGTACTTCCTTCCTTCTTTTCTAGCTCAATAATTGATATTCCCTTCTTATCATCTTCAAAAAAAAAACCAAATAAATTTTTAAAAAAAGATTACATTTCACTGAGGATTCAAAACAAATAAATATTCTAACTTGCATTAAAACGCTTTTCATAATCAACTTTTACTTAAACGTATTTCTTTTAGAAATATCAAAAAATACATACAATCAAAATAAAGTTAACTATATCAATTGTATTGTCAAGTATATTACTTACCAGATAATATACTTGACCGTTTATCTTCATTTCCAGCCACATCTAATCCATAGCCATGATTTTTGTTGTAGGCATTTTCACCTATTATGATAACAAATTACATATTACTAATAATTATAACAGTAACTTAAATAAGCATCTTAAATTAACTCAGTTTCAGCTACGATTTGATTTGGTTCGAACTTTACAATTATTTTTTGAATATGAAAGAAACCAGACTGGAAGCTATACTGCTTAAAGCAGATTCCAATTCAACTCAGATAATGGCACAACTCAGATTCAGAATCTAGTCCCTCTAAAGTGCATTAGAAAACTTTCAGCTATAATATATATATAGTTTAAAAGGGGGAGAATATCAAACCCAAAATATGAACTCAATTTTAAAATTAGGAAAGCAGTGTCTGGAATTTTCTACTCCCAGCCACAGGAGAAACAGCTCATTAATCAATCCAACATAAATGACCAGTCTTGCATAATAAAATTAGCACACGTATTCAATACTATTAAAAGGGAGGAAAGGACACCTCTGGAAACATACTCGTTTTACCTCCTTGCAAGTGGTCATGAAATTTACGGGAATACGCTTCAGAAACGTAGTGTTTGTCCACAGATTCAGATTACAAGAAATTTCTAGCAAAAGAGAGTAGGATGCCGTTGGATCATACATTGCAGCAGTAGTAGGAATTTTTAGAAGAGTGGTAACAAACGAACGCACTGATTACAACACGCAAATGTACTTAATTTTCAGTTTAAGAAGAAAATGCATAAATAACTACGTGGATTCGAAAATTCGGAATTTTTCAGTGCCTTAAAAAGCTGAATCTTGAAGCAGTTAAGCTTATGCAATTGTTGGTAAATGACAGATTTAATCTACTCCCTCCCCCAACTAATCTTATTGGGAGGGGGAAAGTAGATTAAGGTTAACTAGCTTACTTTATAAATAATTTTCACACTGAAATTAAAATATCCAAACAAGAACAAAGATAATGCTATCACTTACATCCGGTTTGCGGTTTGGTTTTTTTGGTTATGGCAAAGCACATAAGGGCTTTCTGCTTAACCCTTTGCGGCACAGTGTGTCCGGTCCGGACACACCTAAAAATTTCCTTCTGTACGCACAGAAAAATTGAATGGAAAAAGGATTTATAGGTTACTCTGAACCTTCTTTATTTATAAAAAGATGGCAGCTCAACACAAACCAGTCCATATATTTTAGCCATGTTTAGTTTTTTAAGACCCTCATTTTTTAAAGAAACTTTCCAGATTTTTTTTAGGGTATAAAAAGAATTGTTTGAAAAGAAATTTCTATGTTATTTTTTTACTGTATGCTAATCTTTTTATTCTATTTTAGTTTTAAATTTTTACCTTGAAATCTTGCCTAAAATCAAACGGCGAACCCTAGGTATGCCAGACCGGGCTCACCGATAATCTAGGACAACTGAGAGTCTGTATTCTTTTGTTTCTCCGCATTTCATCGCTTAGTTTATTGACACAATGCTTGTTTCCGCACTCTTTTCGAAGCTCTATTCAATCAGTGCGCCACTTTGGGCACACCCACAGAATTAAAACGATAAGTGCTATCTTCACAAAATTTTACTTGTGTACTCCTCTAGGCCTAATTAAATTGCCTACTCTTTTTTTTTATCAAAACTCCGACTTTAAAAGGTAGCGTGCCGGAAAGGGATAATGGGAGAGATGTCTTGGTGGAGGACTTTTTAAGGGAACTGGCTCGTATCCATGTTACACATGAGGAAAACCATGAAAACGCCCACGTACTCCACCCATTCGCCATAATCTGAATCAAGGTCGAACTACCAGCGTCCATCGATTTTATCGCTCAAACGCTAGCGGGCCATTCACAGCTGAAAACTGCTGAAATTAGCTCATAAAAAGAAAACACACCGCACAAACTAGGAAACTGCATTGGTGGTTGTTGGTAAAATCCATAAGACGCAAATGCACCAGATTTGGTGTAAGCAATTTTAATAACTGCCGACCAGCCGGGAAAGTGGCTAGTGACTCTGACTATGGAAGGGCCCGTGTTCGATTCCAGAAGAAGGCATGGATGTAATCTGTCCGTCCCTTCACAGCAGCCAACGGTAGCCCATCTACTGAATGCCCCCATAATAAAAAGATTCTGGCCTTTGTAGTGGACAACGCCTATAAACGGCTAGTGCCCGCCATTGGGAAAAAATTAGTGATTAGAAAATCATGCTCTGTGACTCTGTGAAGAATCACTGAGATAAATGTCTTGATGTTTAATATTGAAATTGCATGTCTGGAAATTTAAATAAGTTTTAAATACGAAGATACTACTATACATTATATACTCGTATACTACTATACATTAATTTAGATGATTTGAAAGTCTGTTTAATCACATTGGCTTAGTTAGCAAAATTAATTAATTTTTCAAGTTCATTTTCCAACCACAGCTTGAGATATACAATTTTGTTTTTCTTTTATTCACTCTGCACGGCTGCCGTTATGCTAGGTAAACTTCTAGTCAAAAGTTAAGGAACATAAACAAGAAGTACGAATAAAAAAACTGTTAATCAAAATAAAGCAAGGGTATACTGGATGTCAGATATAACGAAATCTCCAGCATGTGCAATTAAGGAACAGAATGAAAAAAAATACTGTTATAAAGAATAAAAGTCAATAATGTGCCACAAACAATAGAGTGGTGAGGCTTGTTATTGCAGCAGAAGTCAATAACTTTTGTTGAAAGCACAAGCCCGACAATGCCGATTAAACGCAGTAAGATAAACTAGCAACGTAAATTTGGGGAATCCTTGCCCCTTCATACTAGGCGAAACAATAGTTACAGAGAACAGACTTACAGAAAACCATTATCTCTCGCCCAAAGCATGTCCCATATATTTTGCAAGGAGTTCATGACCAAAATTCCACTAAACGTAGCATACGAAGTTAAGTTTCAAACTGCAGCTAGTGTTCGAGAAAGGCAGCCCTGAGAACTATAAAAACGGCAATAACGAGCATGGTAGCAAGAAACGGGCGGGCATAATGATCTCCGAGGTCCTCTTGATAGGGCACTCAAGTCATTACAAGGCCAAGGAAAATGTGGAGCCCCCACTGCCACTACAGCTGTACTTTTCCGGGATGTTTTTGCTCTGATATCGAATACCAGATATTCTCCACATTAAATCTTGACTGGCAACATCTTGATAGACCATACTGTGAATCATGCAAGAAAGCACAGCTCCCACTGTCATGAGCAGATTATTTGAATACTACATAGAGTATACGGTGATTATCTATTTATTCCACTGTTGCGAGATCCAACTGAGGGATCTCTAATTCAAATTTATCGAGCTCTTCGGCGTGAGGACATCAAAGGGATGATGACAAGAGGCCGTCTTGCATAGGGAAGATCTTCGTGCAGCCGTAGGGAAAGCTTGCCAACAGACAGCTCTTCTGTCAAAGGTACAGTTGACTTACGGCAAATGACCTGCGGCGTCGGCCATGCAGGCATAGACAACAGAGATGGGTTTTACGTCAGCAAGGACTTCAACGCGAAACACCCGTTGAGAGGAGCCAGCCAACCAGATCCATGGGATCAGCAGGTTTGCAAGCTTCTCGCCTGCTGAGATCTAACAGTCATCAGTAAGCCCAGTGGCGTAGCTAGGGCGGGGCAAGGGGGGACAATCTGTCCCCGGGCGCAGCATTCAGGGGTCTCCAAATTGATGCTACGAAATTTTAGAATGGTTTTCCGTTCTTGGCGCAAAGAAAGGGGCGCAAAATCTTCAGTAGTCACCGGGCGCTACTGAGTAACCCACAAAGTACATCAACCTTCTCCCGGCTCAAACGGGAACTTATGGATCGACCTGACCCTATTAAAGCGGGCAGGTTCAATCAATATAAAGAACTGGGGAAGTTATGAACAAAGAAAAGGTAAGAAGCCACAATTATGTAAAATTTGACATCAGTAGCTTTGCATACGAAAGTACGAACAAAAACAAAATAGACATTGAGGTCCCACTATCAAAAGAGGCAGCCAAACACAGGATCGTCCAGCACATCATATGGCTCTGGCAGGATAGATGGGATGAAGCACTTCATCCGGGACTGCAGATCGACAGCCTCTTCCCGACGAATTATAGGGCCGTGGACATCTTGGCCCTGTACGACGACTACTATTGCCAAAAGAGAATCGAAGAGCTAATAAAATGGGTAAATTTCACACGTGACAAAATGACCAGATTGTAAAAGGCCCATATACCAAGTCAAAACGGGCAACAGAGCCTTGTAAATAATGTATCATGTAACTGTTAATCCTATCTTTCTGTAATTTTGTTTTAATGAAGGACTTATGTCAATGAAAAAGGTCGACCTTTCTTGTTGACAACAGCCGGAGTGATTTGTCACATCTGTAGTGTCAATGACGGAGCAGGTAACAGATAATTATGATTCCTATGATTAGAATAGACGATTAGACAGACAGTCCTCGCATGCTTTGCCGTATTCAAGCACCTAACTACTTGAATACCGGTGAATGGCTAGTTGTATAAGCGTTTTCATGCTTTCACTCATTAGTAATATGAATACGAAGTTTCCTTAAAAAAGTCTTTCAGGAAAGCATCCCTCCTTTTAAACAGATAGCCCTAGTACGCTTTGGCATAACTGATAAATTCATTGTGCCAAATATTTTAGCATATTCGATTTGAACCTATAGTTAGCACCGTAACACATAATCTAGCATTTCTGAGCAAAATCTCATAAAAGAAGCAGTTCGTGTTTTCTAAAATTGAAACAAGACTGGTAACTTTAATGGTTCTTAGCGTCTGTCTACTGTTTGATTAACATGACAAAGCACATGAGGGTTATCTACCTAAGTGAATGTGAGAGACATTCTACGATCTACAATGAATAAGAAATTTGGCAGCCAAGATATATTTAATTCAACTTTTATATGTTTGTTTATATATTAAATATGTTTTGGCTACAATCAAGTTTGCACATTAATTGTGCCTATTCCAAAAAGTTTACATTTTAAATAAATCTGCAGTAAGATAGAAGGAGTAGACAGACTACAGTCCAGCTACGCCAAAGCGTAGAAA